CCACTGAGATCAAAAGTTGCTTCTTTGAAAAGTTATTAAAATTGATAAACATACAGTCAGATTGATCAGGAAAAAATATGAATACCAGCAGTAAGAGAGGTACATTACTATAAAACCCACAGACATTAAAAAGAAAAGGGAATATTATTAAAACTTTATGCCAATACGCTCAACAAATTAGATGAAATAGATACATTTTTTAGAAGATACAAATTACCAGAGATCTCTAAGAAACTGATAACCTGGTTAGACCTATATCAGAGAATTTAAATTTGTTGTTAAAATCTTTCTCACTGAGAAAGCTCCAGGCCCAGAAAGATTCACTGGTAAATTCTACCAAACATACAAAGAAGTAGTAACAGTTTAACACAAACTCTTCCAGAAAACAGAATAGCAAAGAATAGTTCCTAGCTTATTTTCTGAGGCCAGAATTACCGATACCAAAACCAGACAAAGACATTATAAGTAAAGAAAGGAAATGGACCAATATTCTGCACAGAGATATAATAATGTATAACAAAATATTAGAAAGATAATCCAACAACATATAAAAAGGATGAAAGAGCATGACCAAATGCAAGGTTAATTTATTGTCAGAAAATGGAGGTAATTCACCACAGTAATAGAAGACGGGAGGAAAACCACATGAATATCTCAACAGATGCAGAAAAGGCATCTCAGCAGGGCAGCAGTAGAAGTGAACTTCCTCCATCTGATAAGGGCATTCAAGGAAAACTTACATTTAACATCATACTTAATGATGAAACACTAACTCCTTTCCCCTTAAGACTGAACCAAGCAAAAGTGTCTATGTTCCTATTTTTATTAAACACTTCGCTGGGGGTCCTAGCCAGTTCAATGAGACAAGACAAAGACATACAGATGGAAAAAAAGAAGTAAAACTCTATTTGCAGATAATAAAGACGGTGTAGAAAAGTTCTGCAGAATCTACAAAAGAGCTACTAAAACTAATAAATGGGTTTAGCAAGACTGCAGAATGTAAGTTAAAAATATACAATTTGACTAAATTTCTATATGTTAACAACAAACAATTGCAAATTGAAAATTTTAAAAGCCATTTACAATAGCATCAAGAATTATAAAATCCTTAAGAGATAAATTTAGCAAAATATGTCAAAGAGTTGCAGGCTGAAAACTATAAAACATTGCTGAGGAGAGTTAAAGATCTAAATAGAGAAATCGTACCTGTGGATCAAAATACTCAATATCATTAGGAAGATAATTCTTCGAAAACTGATCATCTATAGATTCAACACAATTTCAATCAAAACACCAGAAGACTTTTTTTTTTAAGAAACTGAGAAATGGAGTCTATAATTTACATGGACAAAGGATCTAAAATATTCAAAATCATTTTGAAAAGAAGAATTAAGTTGAGGGACTTACTTCACCAGACTTCAAGACTTACTTGAAAGTTACATTACTCCAAAGTGTGGTATTGCCCTAAAGCTGGTCATACAGATCAGTGGAACAGAAAAGAGAGTCCCGAAATAGACCCACATATATAAGGTCAAGTGATTTTCAACAAAGGTGTCATGGTAATTTAATGGGGGAAAGATTCATCCTTTAAACAAACAGGGCAGGAATAATTAGATATCCCAATGTGAAGAAAGTATATTGACCCTTCCTTATACCATACACAAAAATTAACTCAAAATGGATCACAGATCTAAGCTTTAAAGGCCACGCGGGGTGTGTCTCGTCTCAACAGCATCATGCTAACTGAAAGAATCCTAAAATGGAAGACAGCATACTGTCTGATTCAATACATCAATTATAGGAAAAGCAAACTAAAGTGTTTCAAAGAAAGCAAACCAGTACCTGCCAGGAGACCAAAGGTCAGGGCAGAGACAGACTGGTGAGGGTCACAGAACTTTTTGGGGTGACAGAAATGTTCTATATGGTGATTGTGGTGGTGCTTACACTAAGGTGCATGCACATCTGTCAGAATTCTTGTTTGTATTCCTAAAATTGGTGAATTTTATTGTGTGTAAATAGGCCCCCATTCTTTTTTTGACAAAAAGAAAAAAGGAAAAAATAAAAAACCCTGTACTTCCACATCAGTGCCTGGGGTACACAGTGAGAGCTCATCACACAGTGAATGGAGTTTGAAACATTGGTTGTCCTGATCCACTACCTGATGCTGCAGAACCAGTTCCGGATGGAGTCTCCCTGGGAGGTGACCCCGTGGACAGCACGCCGGCAGTAGGATGCGATGGAGTCTCCCTGGGAGGTGATCCCATGGACAGTGCGTGGGTAGCAGCGGGACTGCCCTCACTGCCACTGTTGCCTATAACACACTGCTAGAAAGTAAGGGCACATGAAAAGACACTTTAATCTTCTTACCACAAAATACAGTAGTCCTCCTTTATTCATGGTTTTGCTTTCTGTAGTTTCAGTTACCTGTGGCCAATCGAGGTCCAAAAACAGTAAAGGGAAAATTCCAGAAACAGTTCCTAAGTTTAAAATTGCGAGCCATTCTGAGTAGTGTTATGAAGTCCTTGCTTCCCTCCACCCTGTATGTGCGACCCACCTGTTAGGAGTCGCCTTGGTTATCAGATCTACTGCGGTGGTATCGTAGTGCTTGTATTCAAGTAACACTTACTTTACTTAATAATGGCCCCAAAGTGCAACAGTAATGATGCCAGCAATTGGGATATGCTAAAGATAAGTCATAAAGTGCTTCATTTAAGTGAAAAGGTGAAAGTTCTCAAGAAGGAAAGGAAAAAACCCATATGCTGAGGGTGCTAAAATCTTAGGAAGAATGAATCTTCTATCTGTGAAACTGCGATGAGTATATTACTATAACTGTCCTATGTTATTATTAGTCACTGCTGTTAAACTCTTACTGTTCTTAATTTATAAATGAAACTTTACCATAGGTATGTATAGTATGTAAAGGAAAAACACACAGTATATAGGGTTCAGATCTATCCATGGTTCCCAGCATCCACCAGGGTCTGAAACATAACCCCTGGGTAAGGGAGACGACTGTAACTGGCAGATCTTCAACTTCATATGTTAAAGGGAATAAAATTTATATATATAAGTAAGAAGTAAAAGCTTTCCAGCCTAGCTCTAAGAATAAGTTCCTTTGTAAGTGATATGAACGCAGTACTACTTTCTCAGTACCTACTACATGCCAGGCACCGCACAGGTGATTTTTTTGCTACTCAGCAAATACGTATTGAACATTTTATATGTTCTAAGCACTGTGTCAAACACTAGGAATATAATAATGAACAAAACAAACTTCCAGCTCTCTAGGAGCTCCTACTACATGGAGAGAAGTACTATATAAATACTACATCATTTAGCCCTCAGAGTAAGCTATGAGGGATTCACCTTTCCATTTTCCTAATAAGGAAACAGAGGCAAAGAAAGGTGAAATACTTGTCTAAGCGAATCTACCTAACTAGTGACAGAGCTGGGGTTTGAATCCGTGTCTTACTCCATAGCCCAGGTTTTATTCACTGTAATACATTCCCTTGCCTTAGATTTTTAGCAAGTACGCTAATACTAGGCTTTCAAAAGTCAGCATATTGTCTTGATTTGGATCACAGATTTTGAATCCCTGTTAAAGGAGGGTATTACACCTTGAAGGTCAAAGAAAACTTTGTGTAAATATTCATACTTGCCTTGGATTCTATACAGGAATGTCAGATTTCAAAGCTTAACCTGCTAAATAAGCCTGAGAATGACTTTCTAGGTAAAGGGATGAAAAGTTAAAGGAAGCAGACCAAAAAAACTTTTGATTTTGAAAAAATGACATGTTTAAGTGTGAAACTATAAACTGCCTTCTCTACTGATAATACAAATAAAGTAGCTGCTACTGCTCATACACACCTGTTGTCCTGTGACTGTGCGTGAAGACGCACAATCGATAAATTGTCAATATGGCTTATTCCCATCTTACCAGACCATAATCTCAGTTGTGGGTAGGCAAATATATATTATAGGCAATGAACACTTACGGGTAATACCTGGATCAAATTTTAAAAAGTGGAGGGAATCCAGTTCACTTGAAAACTTGAAGGAAGCACTTTGGGAAAAACCTCACAAAGTAAGAATCCAGAATATAGACGATTCTTTCATGTCTACTTTCCAAACAGCCAGGCATGTGTGTTTCGTGTTTACACATAATTAGGCTAACAGGCCCACTCACTGTAGCCATGAGGATTAACCACTGAGGATGTCAGCAGTGAATCCCAACGCAAGCACCTTAACTTGAGTAAAGTTATTTGTCACTTGAGTGTTGAAAATGAGCATCACTTACATACTCAGCTTGTGGGGACCTGTTCCTTCTTATCTCATCTGAAGATTCAGAGGGTCTGGGCATCTCTTCCTGAAGTAAGTCTAGCTGCAAGGGCGAGCTGCTCCTTGAGGAAATGAATGGGTGCCCCTCGCTTTGTGCCTCCCACTTTTCCTCCTCTCTCCTTTGGTTGGTGATTGAAGGGGGTGTGTCCAGGTTTGGAGTCACTGCTGACATTGAGGGTGATATTGCAGAACAGGCTGTCACCCCCAGAAATGGACATGGAAAGAACGATGGCGACAACAGAGGGCAGACAGAGGGGTCAGGCAGGAAAACGGTCATAAAAGTATCCAAGTAAGGAGAAGGGAAAGCTGGGCAAGTCTGCTGGTCCTTGGACGAGGACGGCCCAGGCAGGACTTCCGGCGCAGTTCCGGGGGCGGCATATTCTCTTCCGGGGCAGGTCACGGCTGGGATGAGGTAAGGGGCGTGGCTGGGTACCATGGCGGCAGGTGGGAAGGTCGGGCCTGAGGAGTGCGGAGAAGAGGCCGCGGAGGGGCAGCAGGGCTGTGCGTTCAGATGCGCTCCCCTGCGGGGACCGGAGCCTGTGTTCGAGCTGCTGCTGTCCGGTGGCTCCAGCAGCTTCTTCCGCTTGTGCTTCCCTTTCCTGCAGCCGGCCGACCGAGTCTGCTTGGAAGTCGAATCTCCTGGAAAGATAAAGGTAGAAGCAAATTATGGAAGATTAAACCCAAAAAGACGAGAAGGATGCCATTTACAGGTACTTTATAAATAGCTGAGAAAGGAATGCCCATTTGCCAATACTACCAGAATGGCAAAAAGTGGCTCTAAAAAAGATGAACAAAATTCCGGGTAAAAATCATTGCTAGCGAGTAAACTTATTTCAGCATCTCTCGATCAGTTTCTCATGAAAAAACAGTTTCTCATGAAAAAACAGTTTCTAAGATATAGGATCTAAGAGCGAACCTAGAGAAATTGTTGATATAAATAGATTGTTTCAGCATCTCCCTATCAGTTTCTTACAAGTAAAACTCCTACTGTTCACTCCTTATCTCCGAGTCCTTAGATATAATTTATAACATCTACATAGATTGATGGCATTTATTTATTTTTGAGACAGAGTCTCCCTGTCACCAGGCTGAAGCACAATGGTGGGATCTCAGCTCACCACAACCTCCACCTCTTGGGTTCAAGTGATTCTCCTGCCTTAGCCTCCCAAGTAGCTGGGACTACAGGCGCCCACCACCACGCCCCGTTAATTTTTTATTTTAGTAGAGGCGGGGTTTCACCATGTTGGCCAGGATGGTCTTGATCCCTTGACCCTGTGATTTGCCTGCCTCGGCCTCCCAAAGTGCTGGGACTACAGGCATGAGCCACCATGCCTGGCCAATGGCATTTATTTTTAAAAACTCACCTACCTTGAAAATATGCATATTTAGCTTTGCTCCTGCTTTCTTGCTGAAGATAGGAGCTGTAGGGTGATGACAGGATCTTTTCTCGGAATTTATCAACATAATTCTGCTCTTCCTTCTGGGTGTGTGCCGACAGAACAGCCGCAGTGAGCCCCACGTGTTTAAATTCTTCTGAGGTCAAAGGGGCTGGCCGCATGTTCAGGGTCCAGGGCTCACACATGAGGGTGGCATCCCTGGCTGAGGTGGAAGAAGATGTATTTAATTTCTATCAATTATTGGTATTTATTTATTTTACTTTGTTAACTGCCTTTCAGTTAACATTTTTACAAACATTATAACTGCGGGAATACCAAAAAGCTTCATTAGCCTAGCAGAGAAATTCTTGATTTTCTGTCTTCCTTTATATTCTTTGCACAAATGCACACACATTTCATAGTTGCAATAATATGCACACATTTATTTAAATCTTGCTTTTATTGTAAACATTTTTCTCTCTCCCTGAATTCTTCAAAATTTCTTTTTATCTTTGAATTTATTTTTAAAATAGGTAATATGTGGTTCAAAAATCAGCAAGTATTAAAAATGACATGTAATAAATTCTCCTCATTTCTGTCCACGCTCTGTCTAGTTCTCGTTTGTTTCCCTTGCAGAAGACCATTCCTGGAGTGAAGTCTCGCTCTGTTGCCAGGCTGGAGTGCAGTGGTGTGATCTTGGCCCACTGCAACCTCCCTGGGGGTTCAAGCGATTCTGCCTCAGCCTCCTGAGTAGCTGGGACTATAGGCGTGTACCACCACGCCTAGCTAAGTTTTGTATTTATCCATTTAATTTTTTGTTTGAGATGGAATATTGCTCTTATTGCCCATGGTGGAGTGCAATGGTGCTAACTTGGCTCACTGCAACCTCTGCTTCCTGAGTTCAAGTGATTCTCCTGCCTCAGTTTCCCAAGTAGCTGCGATTACAGGCACATGCCACCATGCCTGGCTAATTTTGTAGTTTTAGTAAAGATGGGGTTTTTACCATGTTGGCCAGGCTGGTCTCGAACTCTTGACCTCAGGTGATCCACCCACCTCGGCCTCCCAAAGTGCTGGGATTAGAAGCATAAGCCACTGCACCTGGCCCTTTCAGTTTCTTTATTACATATGAACAAGCATGAATATAGATTATCTTCCTCCCTGGCCCCGTCTTTACCCAAAGGCACATATGTACATTAGCTACCAATGTACCTTTTTCACTTTACGGTATCCCTTGGAGAACTTTATCAATGCCTCGACAGTTGTCTCGTACTTCTACACTGCTGTGGAATTCCATTTTATATGCATACCAGTTTACTAAAGTGAGCATCTATGGATGGATTTTGGGTTGCCTCTTTTTTATCTGGTTATTTAACTATTTATTATTGATACAGAATAGTCGTACACTAAATTTTCTTTTATTGATATAGAATAGTTATATATATTTTGGGGATGATTACTTCTTCTAAGAACAAAAGATTTTGTGGTGGACACTGTAGAGGTGGACATCCATGCTGGCCCACCTCTGTGGTGCGGTATCCAGGCGGTTTGGCCCCACTCCACACCCGGAAGTGGCCTGTAACACCACAGGGGCTTCACTTCTAGCCAAGCTGTAGTAACAGGGACCAAACTTACCTTCCTGTCTGAGATTAAAAAAAAAAAAATGGCCAAAATATATAAAGCAGTAGGTTTCAGACATTGAAGGAAAGTGACCCCCAAGGATAAGAAACAAGGGCGGTGAGCCTGAGGGCTACCCCAGCACACAGCCTGGAGGGTTTCCAAGGACTTTCCAAGGCATTCATGGGAAGAAAAAATCACCTGAGAGGGCTAGCAGGAACAAGAGCCGAAGCTCACACAAGCTGCAGAACAGTGCCGGCTCCCATCTGCCAGACTAGAGAATCTCCTCACTCCTGAGGCACCACATGGAGCACTCCGGAGGGTCTTGCCTTGGTAGCAGAGAAAAAACAGGCCTAGGCTACACACTATTTGTCCTGCCTAACAAATTTAAAAAGCAAAACCTGAAAGGATCAATCTGTTTCCAAGTAACGTAACTGCGGCCCAGAATAAAGATCAAGAATATAGGAATACAAAAATATTTGGTACTCATTCACAGTATCTGGCATCCAATTAAAAAAAATCACCAGGCATACAAAGAAGCAGAAAATATAACCCCATAATAAGGAATAAACATACTGAGAAACTGAGTCTACAATTTATGCAGACAAAAGACCTAGCATATTCAAAGCAATCTTGAAAAAGAATCAAATTGAAGGATTTATACTAGCTGATTTCAAGACTTACTGTACAGCCACATGAACTAAGACCACTCTGTACTGGGATAAGAGGTTTATCAATTTTGTTCATCTTTTCAAAGAACCAACTTTTAGCTTTAAATTTCTCAACTATCTGTTTTCTATTTTGTTGGCTTTTGCTTTTATCTTTATTATTTCCTTCATTCCATCTTGGACTGACTTCACTCTTCCTTGGCTAACTTTTTAAACTGTAACTTTAGATCACTGATTTGAGACATCTCTTCCCTAACAGCATTTTAAAGCTACTGATCTTCTTACAAGCCCTATTTTTAGCTGTATCCCATACATTTTAGTATGCTATACTTGCAATATCAGTGATTTGGAAATATTTTCTAATTTTCTTTGTGATTTCTTTTTTGACTCACAGGTTTAGAAATGTGTTGTCTGACTTCTAAATATTTGGGTTTAAATATACTGATTTTTAATTTAATTCACTAGCCAGAGAACACAGTTTACACATCACACCATCAATCCTTTTAAATCTGAGACACAGTACAGCCCAACATGTCTTATTTCTTAGTGAACATACTGTGTGTACTTGAAAAGACTGTGTATTATGCAGTTACTGGGTCTCTGTTCTCTAAGTCTCAATTAGGTCAAGGTAGTTGATAGTGTTGCAAAGATCATTTTTCTTTATTTTTTCTCTATCTATTTTTATCAATTGCAGAGAGGGAGTGTACGATTTTCCAAATAGAATTATGGAAAGTCTATTTCCACATTTTTGCTACAGAGCTTTCAAAGCTCTGTTATTAGTGAATACACATTTATGACTGTTATGTCTTCCTGAACTGACTGCTGTGTCATTATGAAATGACTGTCCTGAAATCTACTTTGCGCATATTAATAAGGCACTGCAGCCTTCCTATGCTTATTGTTTGACTTGCACATCTTTTTCCATTCATTTACTTTCCACCCATTTGTGAATTTCAATTGTACTTTGCAGAGGGCATATAGTTAGGTCTTGATTTTTTTAAATCTGTTTTGAGAATTTTTGCCTTTTATGTATTTACTTATTTTTTAGAGACAGGGTCTTGCTTTGTCACTCAGGCTGGAGTACAGTAATGTGATCAGAGCTCACTGTAGCACTGAACTCAAGGTGGGCTCAAACTAGGCTCAACTGATCCTCCTGCCTGTGCCTCCCAAGTAGCTGGGACTACAGGTGTGGGTCACTGCACCTGGCTAACTTAAAAATTTTTTTGTAGAGATGGGGTTTCACTATATTGCCCAGGCTGGTCTCAGACTTCTGGCCTCAAGCAATCTTCTTACCTCCTCGGCCTCCCGAGTCTCTGAGATTACAGGTGTGAATCACTATGCTTGGTCCAATTTTTGCCTTTTAATTGAAGTACTGAGTCAATTTTATGTCATTATTGACAGAGCTGGATTTAGAGCTATTCTCTTGTTACTTGGTTTGTTCTCTCTGTTTCTTTTTTGTTTATCCTCCTTTCCTGCCCTTCTTTTTTGAGTGTATTTCAAAATTTCATTTTATTGATTGGCTTTTTAGCCATTGTACCTCATATACCATCTTTTAAAAAATTATTTTAGGGCTAGGTGTAATGGATCACGCCTGTAATCCTAGCACTTTGGGAGGCCGAGGCAGGCATATCACCTGAGGTCAGGAGTTCAAGACCAGCCTGGCCGACATAGTAAAACCCTGTCTCTACTAAAAATACAAAAATTAGTTGGGTGTGGTGGCAGGTGCCTGTAATCCCAGCTACTTGGGAGACTGAGGGAGTAGAATTGCTTGAACCTTGGAGGCAGAGGCTGCAGGTAGCTGAGATCGCATCACTGCACTCCAGCTTGGATGACAGAGTGAGACTCTGATTCAAAAAGAAAAAAAGTAATTTTTTGTAGACAGGGTCTCACCAAGTTGCCCAGGCTGGTCTCAAACTCCTGACCTCAGGTGATATGCCTGCCTCGGCCTCCCAAAGTGCTAGGATTACATACATGAGCCACTGTGCCTGGCCTATATTCCATCTTAATTAGATCCTGCTTTAGGTTCAAAATATCTATAATGGCAATGACTCCTAGAGACTAATGGTCAATAATCGACTCCCTACTCTACTACTCATGGGCTGTGTGATACTGGGCAAGTTAAGTTACTTTACCTATTTGTGCCTTAATTGTTCCACACATAAAATGAAGATATTAACTTGCAAGGGAATATATCTGTGATCATGGTCCTCAGACATAGCTCATTAAAGTCAGAATGTAAACTGAGGGAATGAATATGAGCTTTTCAGAAAGCAAAAGACATAGAGATAATTTTTTAAGAACATCTGGGCTCTAATTCTGCTTTTTCTCCATGGAATAAAGATGTGGTCCTGTAGACGTTGAGGCTGATTTAAGATCAGGAGAAACTAATACCAGTAAAAATTTCCTAAAGCACATGGACTTTAGTATAAATGCATTAAAAATAGTAATATAAAAGCAGAGTACAGAAAGCAGAGTGGCAGAGTCAAAAAGGAGCTTTTATTTTATTATTTTTTTGTATTTTTAGTAGAGGCGGGGTTCCACCATGTTGGCCAAGATGGCTTCGATCTCCTGACCTTGTTATCCACCTGCCTCAGGCTCCCAAAGTGCTGGGATTACAGGCGTGAGCCATCGCACCCGGCCCAAAAAAAGGTTTCCCTATTGGGTAAGACCCTCCCTTCCTGTATAGGCTGTACTGTGAACAGCTACACGGCCACACAGGAATGCAGAATATTAAAAATGTGCATATGCTCCTGTCTGGAGGGGCTAGCTCAGGTCCAGTGAAACTCTACTTTTGACTAATTAGAAACGTAATGCTCTCTGGTCTTTCCCCACCAGTCCACAGTTCTCCTGTCAGTACCACGCTCTCCGTCTCACAAATTGTTAGAAAGAGTTAATGAGACCATTCCAATGAAGAACTAAGAGCAGACAGTGGCACACGGAAATGGCTCAATGCATATTAGCTGATATGCCATTGAAGACTAGCAAAGATAAAGTAGAGATCATGTGAAAACCCAATTTAACATATTTGTCACCATTCCTTCATCTACCCAAATTATTATGAGCAATGAAAAAGTCAAAAGGACAGGTGGCAATAAAGAGGAATAAAAAGAAGCCAGGAGAATAATTTACTAAGTAATTATGGTGTTAAATGAAGAGTTTTTAAGGTACTCTACTCATTGCTATCACACAAATACAAAAATCTGAATATATGTTTGACTAAGCTCATCACGACTATACAGGATGGTGAAACGCAGGCCCATTCTTTAAAAGTCAGCAACGAGGTAACCTAACACAGTGCCATTAATAACTGCATTAATAATGACTAACACCAATTGAGTACTACCTATCTACTAGGTACTATATTAAGTGCTTCATATGTGTCATCTGATTTCATTGACAAATAACATAGCTGAGAAATAAGGTCCAAAAGATGTAACTGACATAAACATGACAACGTTTCCAGAAATACTTTAACTGAATTAAAGAAAGAAAAACATATGTGTAATTTAGAAGTTGTAACTGAGCAAATGGTATTCATGACTTTTGTTTTCTCATCACAATGTAGTTAAGGTGGAATATGTTTTCAGAGTCAGAGGCGAGTGTGGTACCTGTCTCTGGGGGTGGGATGTGGACAGTGGTGCTGCCGTAACTGCACTGGCTCATGCCCGACCCCAAGCTCAGCACTGTCGTGGACAGGATCTGTGGAGCTGCTCCTCCTGCGTCTGTGGATCGTGCATTTGTTGGCATTTCTGGCTTAGGTATGGCTGGGATTTGCAAACCAGCTGGTGATGTAAGAGAAACTGACAGTGAAAAAAAAACTCCCAACAAGAAATTTACCTAAGACCCAGTTTACAGAAGTTTGTAATTGAGAAATTAAACCTTACTGGCCATAAAGCAGTAACACGAAACCAGAATTTTATGCTTACAACAAAATAAAGATAAGACATTAAAGAGAAATAGGAAGGATGTATTTACAATTCTTTTAATTTAACTCTGAGGGGGCATTCTTGTTACCTTGTAAGGCCGGGACATCATCCGCCTTGTGGTTCTGTTTGTCTTCTTCTGAGGATGAAGAAGTTGTATTTGTACAGGAGATACACTTTCTTTTCAAAGCTGGAATGTTGTAGCTCTTCAGGTATCTGTAACAACATGATTAGGCCACATATTCTTACCTGTTCCCTAACTGTGCCATATCCCATCTCTTTGCTTTTCTCATGCCAGTTCTGTTTAGGGTAGTTTGTACTTTCTTCTTGATAAAGTCTTCCCTGACCATCCGAGCCTCAATCACTGGATTGTAGTATTTCTTTTACTATGGTCTTGAATTAACCTTCATTTCTTACACCATGGGTGTCCAATCTTTTGGCTTCCCTGGGCCACACTGGAAGAAGAATAGTTGTCTTGGGCCACACATAAAATATACTAATACTAATGATAGCTGATGGGCTAAAAAAAACCCAAAAAACAAATCTCATAATGTTTTAAGAAAGCTTATGAACTTGCGTTGGGCTGTATTCAAAGCCGTCTCGGGCCACATGCGACCTATAGGCCGCGGGTTAGACAAGCTTGTCTTACGCCATTTAATTTTGAGAAAATTAGGTCTTGTCTTCTCAACTATTCCACAGATCCTTCAAAGAAGGGATGCATCTTCTAGCTTTTTGTGCCTTCCGTAATATTCAGTGTATTATGAACTGTATGTGTTAGGCACTCCATAAATATCTACTGATTTATAGTGAAAACCCAAGTCAGAGCAGCTATTAAAAATTCTGTGAAGTGTCTACAGTGACAGCATATGCTTCTGGAGAAGACTAACATGGTTTCAGAACTGTGGTCTCATACCTGATGACACTGTCAATACAGTTAATCTGTTGATAGGACGGGCTGTGCTCTTCGTTCCTCAAATCCTTGTGAGGCTCAGTGTACATGCTATTATTTTTCAATGTTTGGTGGAAGGAAGTACAGGCCTTATACTCACCTGAAACAGAATAAAGCAATGTGCAATTAAAAGTACTCAGCATGTAATTAAGAACATATACTTTCTTAGCAAAATTAAATCATGGCACTTTATCATGTATGTATCAATAGAATATTATGCAGCTATTAATAATGAGTGCAGATCTAAAATGCACTGATAGATATCCAATGTGAACAAAATAAGGCTCAAAGCATATTATACATACAATGGCTACAACTGTATTTAGAAAAATAAGGGAGCGAAACAAAAGTTTCCAGCAAAGATTATCAAGGAATGAAACTATAGGTTAAAGGTTGATCAGGAACTTTCCAATGCTGAGCTGACACTGCCTGTACAACTGATCGACCCTGGCAATTACTAAGGGTGGGATTTGGGCAGACCTGTGTGTCTTACATGCTGCTGTGTGAAGTACACAGCATCTCCCAAATGGAACCTGTGCCTGACAGAACCTTCCGTGATGAGCGACGGAACTATTATTTGTGCTGATTAGTATGGTAGCCACTAACGTACCTATTGAACACTTGGAATGTGGCTAGAACAACTGAGAAACTAAATTTTAATTGTACTGAATTTGAATTTAAATTGCCAAATGTGGCAAGTGGCCATCATTGTAGATAGCACAGGTACAGAGAGAAGAAAAAACCTCCAGGCTTGGTTGCAGTGAGCCGAGATTGCGCCACTGCATTCCAGCCTGATGCCTGGTGACAGAGCGAGACTCTGTCTCAAAAAACAAAAAAGACCAAAAACCTCCAGGCTTAAGCATTAAAAACCTCCTGTAAAGGACAATGATCCCATAAAGGAGACTGAAGGACAGCTAGAAAGATCACAGGAAACCCTGCAAGGTTCAGCCAGCCACCCAGCGACCAAGAATGAAAACTTTCTTAAGGAAGGAGTAACTAATTATGTCAAGTACTATTGAGAGGTTTTGTAAGGAGGTTTAGACGCTGGTCATTTTTAGCTGGCTTGGAAGAGTCTTCTCTATTTTCAGAGGGTATTATGGAAAAATGACTATATTACCTTACATTCATTAACTTTTTTTTTTTCTTGAGACAGAGCCTTGCTCTGTTGCCCAGACTGGAGTGCACGCAGTGGCACAATCTCGACTCACTGCAACCTCCACCTCCTGGGTTCAACAGATTTTCCTGCCTCAGCTTCCCGAGTAGCTGGGATTATAGGTGCCCGCCACCATGCCCAGCTAGTTTTTGTATTTTTAGTAGAGACTGGGTTTCACTATGTTGGTCAGGCTGGTCTCGAACTTCTGACCTTGTGATCCGCCCGCCTTGGCCTCCCAAAGTGCTGGGATTACAGGCGTGAGCCACCGTGCCTGGCCTCATTAATTATTTTTAACTTTTAATTTTGAAATAATTTTAGACTGGAAGAGTTGCAAAAATAGTACAACAGAGTTCCTACACGCCCACCACCCAGCTTCCACTGTTACCATTGTATACAACCATAAATAAAATGACCTTAACTAGGAAATGAACAGTGGAACCATTCTACTAACTGGAATCCAGGGCTTCTCTGGATTTCATTGGTTTACTACTCAATGTTGCTTTTGCCTTCAGGATCTGCTGGAGGGCACAGGTCACAACTTTAGCAGGATGCCCTTCGATTGGAGTTTCTCTGACACCTTATCATGATTAGGTCAAGGTGATGCATTTGGGGTACAGTGTCCTTCCTAGGGCCTCATCCCAGGGCACATGAAGTTAACATGTTTTGTTACCTTGATCATTGGTTAAGGTGGTGTCTCTCAGGTTTGTTTGTCCTGTGTAAAGTCACTATTTTACAAGGTGATAATAATAAGTTTTGGAGGAGTGCTTTGAGATCACACAAGTATTCTGTTTGTTTTAAACTTTCACCTTCCAATGAAAGTTTAAATTCCCCATTAACCTTTCACCTATAGTTTCATTCCTTGATCATCTTTGCCTGAACCATCTGTTTTATTCTTCATTTTTTTTATTTGACATAGTATACTAACCTGTGTCTATCCATCCCTCTGTATGTTAACAAAAGGGGCATGAGTTCACACTGAAACCGTGAGCGCCAATCCAGCACCACAGAGTTCCTTCCATTTGGTTGTGTGTGGCTTTCCTCTGACAGTGAGGAGTCTGGTTATCGTTACCTATAGCAGCCTCCATGATTTGTTCAACCCTAGTATAAACTCGCTTTAGAATTGCTAACCCGTACTCTGGTGGGAAACGAATACACCAACTTGAGTACAATGTTTGTGCACATTCATAATTTTGTATTAGTCCTAGGAGATCAATTGCAGCACTGTTTTCCAAAGCTACAGAGCTCCGTTCTTCCCCATCCCTTCCATATGTTTAGGCCGATCATCTGTACTGCATTCGGATTCACTTGTCAAAGCCTGCATCTCATCCTAGGTTCTCTCTGCATTTTGGGGTGAGATGGAGTGCACGAATCTGTGGGTTTCGGCAAATGCAAAGCAAGTTGTGCATCCATCACCACAGTAACCAAAAGAACATTTCCATGACATAAAAATGTCCCTACAGCTGTCCCTCTGTAGTCAACTCCTCCTCCACCCAGCCATAGTAAATACTGATCCGTTTTCCAGATCCAGAGCATTCCAGAAAGAATGCTTTTCCAGAATGGAACTGTACAATATGTAACCTTTTGGTTCTGCCTTCTTTCACTTAACAAAATGTACTTAAGATTTCTGTCTACAATGCTCTGTGAATCAAGTTCTTTGTCTTCACTGTTGAGTAGCATTTCACTGTGTGGATGTATACAGCTTATCCGTTCTCCTGCTGAATGACATTTGGGTTGTTTGTGTTTGACGAGTAACAGTGTAATATTCACATACAGGTTTTTGTGTGAACGTGTTTCTATTTCAGTTGGGTAAATCACTAAGAATGGAATTGCTAAGTTACATGGTAAGAGTATGTCTGACTTTATGGGGAACATCAAACCTTCCCAAATTGGCTATACAGTTTGGCATTACCTCCAGCAATAGGTGAGTGTTCCAGTCACTCTGCACGCTTGCCAACACTTGGTACTGTCAATTTTTAAAAAAATATTTAGCTATTCTCATTGATGTGTGATTGTATTTCATATGGTTTTAATTTTTTTTTTTTTGTCTAATGACTTAGGTTCAGCATTTTATTGTATGTTATTTGCTGTTTATGTATCTTCTTTAGAAAAATGTTTCTAATTGGGTTGTTTGCCTTCTTGAGTTTTGGGCATTCTTTATGTACACTGGGTATAACTTCATTATTGTATATATAATTTGCAAATATTTTTGTCTTTTGTCTTACCAGTGTCTCAGATGAGATTGTGCACGTTCAAGGCGGTATGGCCATGTTATCAGTGTATTTCAAAAAGGAGAAGTTTTAAATTTTGATGAAGTCCAACCTGTCCTTCCTTTCTTCTTTCTTTTGTTCAGTTTGGCTAAAGACTTACTAATTTTATTACCCTTTGATTTAACTTAGTTTCTCTTTTCAATTCCATTGATATCTGGTCTTTATTATTTCCTTCTTACTGCTTGAGATACAATTTGTTCTTCTTTCTTTTATTTTTAAGGAGGAAGCTTAGATAAGTGAGTTGAGACCATCTTCTTTTTTCCGTATAAACACTCAATGCTGTAAATTTTACTTTAAGCACAGTTTTAGGTATATCCCACATATTTTATGTTGTCTTTTCATTTTGTTCAGTTCAAATTGCTTTTATTCCCCCTGAACCTTCCTCTTTGACCTGTGGATTATTTAGAAGTGTGAAGTTACTTAATTTCCAAACATTTGGGGATTTTCTGGATACCTGTTACTGATTTCTAGTTTCATCCATTATGGTCAGAGAATAAACAGAGTAGTCTCTTTTCTTCAAAAATGTTTTAAGGTTTGTAATATGGCCATACTATGATCTGTTTTGATGACTGTTGCATGAAAAACATTTATTCTGTTGTTCAGTCAAGCGTTCTGTAAATGTCAAATAGGCAGACCTTGTCGATAGTGTTGTTCAGGTCTTCTATAGCATTACTAATTTTCTGACTACTACTTTTTATCAGTTACAGACAGAAATGTGCTGAAGTCTAGCCAGGCGTGGTGGCTCACACGTGTAATCCCAGCACTTTGGGAGGCTGAGGCGGGTGGATCACAGGTCAGGAGATTGAGACCATCCTGGTTAACATGGTGAAACCCCTTCTCTACTAAAAATATAAAAACTAGCTGGTGCCTGTAGTCCCAGCTACTCGAGAGGCTGAGGCAGGAGAATCACTTGAACCCAGGAGGCAGAGGTTGCAGTGAGCCAAGATTGCACCACTGCACTCCAGCCTGGCTACAGAGTGAGACTTTGTCTCAAAAAAATACGTACATACATACATAATCAACTTATCATCATCCTCCCTACTCTTGTTACTTTGAATTAAAAGGATCAATTTGTTAAAAAGCTTANAAAAAAAAAAAAAAAAGAGAGAGAAAGAAAAAGAAATGTGCTGAAGTTTCCAATTATCATTGTGACTTTGTCTATTTCTCCTTACAGTTTTATAGCTTTTATTTCATGTATTCTGATGCTCTGGTATTAGATTCATAAACATGTAAGATTGTTCTATGCTCTTAGGGAATCAACCCCTTTATCTGTTATACAATCTCACTCTCTAACTCTGGTAACTTTCCTTTTTCTGAAGTCTACTTTGTATAATAATAATACAGCTTCCCGCTTTCTTTTGATTTGTGTTAGCATGGTATATCTTTTCTACTCTTTTGCTTTTAACCTGTTTATTTTCACAGTGGGTTTTTGTAAATAGTATGTAGCCAGATCTTTTCATCCAGTTTGACAATTTCAGTATTGTAAATTAGTGTACTGAGATTATTCATATTGAATATGAATAACTGGACTGAATATCATTCATATTCATATTTAATTTAGTGATTATTGATATTGTTGGATTAAAATATACCAGCCACCAGTTTTTTTCTATTTGTTCCATTTGCTGTTTAGTTTTAACTGTATTTTTAGAGATGGGGTATGGCTATGTTGCCCAGGCTGAACTAGAACTCCTGGGCTCAAGTGATCCTCTAACCTCAGTCTTCTGAGTAGCTAGCACATGTCACCACTCCCAGCTTCAGTTCCATTTGGTTTTTGGCCACATTTTGGGTTGTCTTAAACTCCATTTTACCTCCCATATTAACTTATTAATCATAATTAAAAATATTTTCAAATTGTTTTCCTAAAAGCTCCAATATGTGTTCTTAAATACTTAGTGTCTACCTCCAAATAATAAAATACTGTTTCAAATGCAGTATTAGGACCTAATGATGGTATATTCCCAATGACTATCCCTCAACTTCTGTAGCAGTACTGTCACAAAGATTACTTTTATGTATGCTATAAATCCAGTTTGCTGGTTTTGCTTTAGTCTGTTACCTTTATGAGTAATTTTAAAAATTAAAAAATAGAATTTCTTTTATCTTCATTTATTCAGTTTCCAGTGCATTTTACTTCTTCATGTAGATCCAAGTTTTTGGTCTGGTATCATACTCCTTCTGTCTTAAGAAATTCCTTTAGCATTTTGTATAGAATAAGTGTGCCAAAAATAAATTCCCATGATTTTTGAGAAAATCTTTATATAACCTTTATTTTCTTAAAGATCATTTTCACTAGGTATAGAATTCTGTGCTGACAGTTTTTCTGGTTGAAGATGTTACTCTATCACCTTTTTAGTGTGCATGGTTTCTGAAGAAATGGCTGTCATAATTCTTATCTTTGTTTGTGTTTTGCTTTCAAGATTTTCTTTTTTCATCAATTTGTATATGATATGCCCAAGTGTTTTGTTTTGTATTTAACTTACTTGATATTCTTTGGCTCTGTAGAAAATTACTGTTATTTATTCAAATATTTCTTCTGAGATTCCAATTACACCTATGTTAGATAGTTTGAGGCTATCTCCAAATTCTTAGAATACTGTTTGCTTCATTCTTCTTTCCCTATTTCAGCTTAAATAATGATTCTTCTCTAGACTGTGCTGAGTGCCATCAAATGTGTTCCTTATCTCTAGCACTGATGTTACAGATGTTACATTTCCATTTGAGTATTCTTTCATGCCCATCTGTATGCTGCAATTACCCACCTCATCCTGCATGGTGCCCAGTTTGTCCACTAGTCCTAATGCATCATTCATAATTATTTTCAGTTCCCTGTCAGATAGTTCAAACTTCTGTGTCCTATCTAAGTCTTGTTCTGATAATGGTTTTGTCTCTTGGGAGTTTTTTTCCCTTCTTACCTATCCACATGCTACATAATTTCTTGTTGAGAACTGCATAACTTGTGTAGGACAACAGAGACTGGAGATGCCTTTCCTTGTTTTAGACCTGTGTTTGAATTAATCTAATTTTTAGGCCAGGTTTGAGTATTTTAATGGTTTTACAGTATGTACAACAGCTTTCAAATTCCTCTAGTTATACTTTTTGCCTCAGCTGGTGGCTGGTTTGGTGGGTAACTTTTTTGTTTTTTCTCATTATCTGCTCCACTTTCAGCTTCTGGTCTTTCCTTGGCATTGTGCCTGGAGAGGGTCTGTCTTCTGCAAATTTCTTAACTCAGGCCATCAGTGTGAGGGAATGTATTCTCTTCCCGGATCCAAAAGGGGGTTTGGATTCAAAGGCAAGAACTTCCCAGTGCCATACCTCCACCCATGTCTCCATCTGGGAGCTTAGAGGTCTTTTTTTAATTTTCCCGTGGGAAGATGGACTGCCCAGGTAAGCTTCCTTTGTCTAGAACCCACGAGAAGCTATGGGAGGACTCTGGGCCAAACAACAAATCAAAGGTCAGAATCTAGCAGAAGTTTAAAGGAACTCCTTTCATAGGACAGAAAACTTGAATAGGGCGGGAATAACTCCCAGGTTAAAAGTCCCCTTCTCTCTCATCTGGGAGGACTCCATCTCCGGATCCCCTTCCATGACACTGTGGGATCTGCTTTTCTTTCTCCTTTCTCTCTGCCTAAATAAATCACTTTCTGCAAAACTCTTTGGGGTCTGATATTTACTTAAAATAAGCTCACCATGTCCGGTGGGGTCCTCTCTCCCATTCTTGGGTGAGTGAGGGACCAAGGGCCTGGAGGAACACATCCTATCAGGAAGCTGAGCCTCCCTGGTGCCCCGCAACCCAGTCTCAAGTGCACGGTAATCCAGTGCTGCATCTTGCTCCTCCCTGCAAATATGTTTCTCTCCTTAGATTTTGGGCCTGCTGGCTGCTCTGTAACCTCAGCACTCTTCAGGTCAAGAAAGGTCTTGAACTTGCCTTTCATCCAGATTTTTCTGTTGTAGGTTGGGGTGTTGCTATTTCTGGCTGTCTATATCCTGGAGCAGAATCTGGAAGTAATCTTGGTCTGAATCTACTCAACTTATGGGTCATCTTCTCTCACTCAGGCATACCACGACCCTACATATGGACACTCGCTTTTCCTGGATTTCCTCAATGACGTCTCTTGTAGTTGGCCTCTGTACACATAGCTGAAAGGGCTTTACATATCCCTGTTTTTCCTTGCCCTCCCATATTAACTTAAAATCTCCCTTCTTATTCTACTTTCAAACATTATTTGCTCTTATATTGTAAGAAAGGTAAATATATAAATTTTAAACCTTAAGTTCCTGTAAAGCATGTAAACAATGATCATGCTTAACTAAGCATTTTCCTTTTCATTGGTATATATCTCTGGTCAATTTCTAACATTTAAATTATAACATTTTTAAGTTGTATCCTCATGTCTCTTAAGTAAAGAGTACTAAAGGTTTCTGTAGCTCTTTAAACTTGTAGGTCTCAAAATGTTAATAAAATAAAGATATCCCAGAAACATTGGTTCTCCAAAGCTATACCAAATGGCAAGATATCTTCCTTCTTCCCCAGAGTCACATCCTGTGTGTGCTATTAGAGCCAAATATAAGCATCTGTCTAAGGAGTGGGAACACTTGTTTCTAAAGTAGCTGTGTAAGCACAGAGCTACGTGCAGCTTAAATTTTTATACAAAGTCAGTGATGGAATATTGCCATCTACTTAAAGATACAGCCTTCAAAAAAAAAAATAGCACCAATGGCATTACAAGATCTGTGGTAGATGATGAGAAACTGAATAATGTGGGAAGTGAGAAGGGAAGCCATTCTGAGATAAGGACCAAGGTCAGTATGTAAAACTGTGATGCCACCATGAGATCTAAGGCCCAGGCAGCTGTGAGTAGGACTGGCAGGACCAGACAATGAGAAAAACATTTACACATTTTAGCTTTAAAACCTCCTAAAAGAGTTCTCTCTGCTAGGACCCATTATTCCATATAATGACCTATAGTAAAAACTGTTATTTAAGATAAATTATTTTGCAGAGGGGGAATGTGGGGGTTTTGAGGGACAAGAATACAAAAAGCGGCTGTTATTCTTATCTTATGCCCTTACATGTAACAGCAGAGGAAACCAATAGAATGCTTAACCTTCTATCAAAGAGAAAAGAAAAATATGAAAGAGCAGGATTTGCTCTATTTGTGTAGTCCTGTGGGCTTTACTGTGGTTTGAATGTGTGTATCTCTCCAGCATGCCTGTGTTGGAACTTAAAACCCAATGTGACAGTGTTAACAGGCGTGGCCTTACAAAGTGACAGTCATGAGGGCTCTGTTCTTATGAATGGGATCTGTAACCTTTCAAAAGGGCTGGAAGGAACTAGCTAAGTCTCTTTCTGCCTTTCTGTCCCTTGTGCCATGTGAGGACACAGCGTTTGTCCCCTCCCAAGGAAGTGATGTTCAAGGTGCCATCTGAGAAGCAGAGACTGGCCCTCACTAGACACTCAACCTGGTGGCGCTCTGATCTTGGACTTCCCAGCCACCAAATCTGTGAGAAATGGGTTTCTGTTCTTTATCCATTATCTAGTCTCAGGTATTTTGTTACAGCAGTACAAACTAAGAAGGTTCCCAGCGATGCCACCTGTGGGAGCTGCAGTTTGATTTTTTGTGGTGTAAATCATGTCAAGTTCTGAAAAATACAGCTGTTATCATTACTGATCTTACAAATTTCACCCCTACTGCGTAAAATGTCCACATTTGACAATGATAGAGATTAATAACATTTAGTGACCAAGATCCATCACAACTTCCAAATTATATTCACGTTCAGGAAGAAAAATGAAGGGAAAGTTAGCTACATTTAAATGTCAATCTAACTTGATTTCTATACTATTGAACTTCCCTATGCCATACAATGCAACTAGGTTAACTTTTCAAAATGATGCCAGTTTTACTACTGATCCAGTACTTTTGGAGGGCTCCTTACTTCGTATCTGAGTAAAGTAAATATATGTCAAGAAAAGAGCCAAAGTTTTTCACTGAATTTAGGTCACAATGATTTTCTGTTTAAAATGACAGAAAGGGATTATTACTTTAATATACTTCATTATTTAAAATGCATTCTAAAATCCACTCTGTTTAAAAGAGATGCCTATGTAGGGAGGAAAATCTATAACTTGTTGGTATTTTCAGAAAAGTTAATTTTTCAGTAAAAGTGAACGGCAACTATTAAAACAAGTGCATTCTAATACCATTTACTTTCAGATAGTATTTGCTGCTGCCTTTATCATCACTACCATTACTACTGCTACCTAGGCAAATCAAGAAATATGAAAAGCAGCAACACAGGGTCATGGCTTTCTGCTCATGAATCACATACATGATGTTTACACAGAGAATAACAGCCCACGGAAGGAGATCCTTGGGGATGCCTGGCTGACTCACCACCACCATTCAGTTCTGTGCACATCCCTGTCACTGGCTTGATTGATGATTTGGTCCTTGACTCAATGTAGAGCTGCTGACCCCGATTCTTAATTTTGTTGACACTGGCATAGACCTGCTGCAAGGTCATCTTAGGGAAAGGAATGATAAAATAAGTTTAAAAAATTATAAAAATGTCCACTAAAAGATAAGTTAAGCAAAATACACTTAGCTTCTGTTTCTCTGAAGACATAATGACTAAAGCACATTAACTGCTTTAATTCAGTTTCCTGCACCACACCACAGTATATTGGTACCAACAAATTCTAAATAAATCTGTTCACAATATGCTAATTTTTAGAATGCTACAATTAATGCAAATATCACTTTCTGAAGGTGGTATTTTCTTTTTACAGACTTTTTTTTTGAGATGGAGTCTCGCTCTGTCATGCAGGCTGAAGTGCAGTGGCGCAATCTTGGCTCACTGCAACCTCCCAGGTTCAAGCAATTCTTCTGCCTCAGTCTCCTGAGTAGCTGGGATTACAGGCACATGCCACCATGCCCGGCTAATTTTTGTATTTTTAGTAGAGGGAGGTTTCTCCATGTTGGTTAGGCTGGTCTCAAATTCCTGACCTCCTGATTCGACCGCCTCAGCCTCCCAAAGTGCTGGGATTACAGGCATGAGCCACTGTGCCCGGCCTACAGACATTTTTTTCTAAACCAAAGTGGATTAAAATATCTGTTATCAGATGAGGTCTTTAAGTCAGGAACATGTACTAAGATGTCACCACGTGCAGAACCGCAGTAACACAGAGAACGCGATGCCTGTGCAAGAAGGTGACATGAGCCCACGCACCTGCTCCGCCTTTGTCTCCTCCATGCATTGCCCACTGGCCTCACTGGAGGAGGCCATGCTGACAAGCTGCTCCTGTGACCCGGTGCTTCCCAGGCTCCCATAGCCACTGGACACACTCATGTGAACTGGCTGGAAGGACAAAGAGGAGCAGTTCCAGAATTGCTGGGTGCCTAAATGCAGCCACCTCAGAGCTCATCTAGAATCATCTAAAAATTAAGACGACAATTTCTGAAATCTCAAATTAGGGTGTGCAGGTTGGTCCTGATACACGAAAGGGACCCCTCCATTATTTCAGTAATTCTCAAAGGCACGGTCCTATGTTCTAGTCTAGGTAGGAAGGACAACCTAGGACCAGGCAATGGAGTGGGAACGTTTGTTTCTAAAGCAACTGTGTAAGCACAGAGCTATTGTAAAAAAACCATAGTGTAATTAATTTTTAAAAACATGGAAATAAAGTCTAGTTCTTTATGCCCAGTTTAGAACAGAGAGAGCAAACCATATATTATACTTTTTCCAAGAACATGGCAGGTGTTTCATGCACCCTAGAGATTTTATGGGCGACATTCTGAAAACTCTGTATGACACCATTAGTTTTATATACCACTTACTGAATCTCTTGTAGAAAACACCTTTGGCATTTCTTTTCAACACATAAATTTTTCCACTTTTATGTAACAATAGTTAAGAGAAACTGAGACCTATCATCCCTCTCCTTCCATCTTTAAAATTGAAATTATTTAAAAAATCCTGAAGCCAAAACCCAAAGGCTGAGCATACTAGTGCCTCTGGAATATAAGAATTCTCTGTCACTTGGTTTGCTGTCTTACAATGGGTTCTTACAAAAATATTCTGTGTAACACAGAGTAAGGAAAAAGAATAAAATGTAATTTAAAAATGAAAAGAGAAAGACAAAAATTTCTGGAATGCAGAGGGCAAAGATTTGTCTCCCTTTATAATTTATTTTTGTGAAGTGATTTTACTGAGCATTAAAATAAAACACAATTCAGAGAATTTTGCATTCTTAAAAATCTCACCTTACCTGTAAGAGAAGTTTGTAAATTTGTTCTTGTAATTCTGTTATGTCTTTGTCATTATTGTTCATCTTTTTAATTTTGGTAGCAAAAACATCCTCATTTAGTGGGCTCCTAGAAAATGTCCAGTGAGAGATTGAGCCAAACAATTTTTTGAAAGTAATTTTTAATAGGCTATTCCAAGAATAGACCTATGCTTTTACAAAACAATTCTTTGACTCCAAAGAGAAAATAGGAGGCTAGAATTCTATTCACGGAAGTTCAGAAAATACTAAGAAACAAATGAGACATTAACAGGCCAGTAAAGTTTCTCTAAAGCAATCATCTTTCTGTAATGGTTTCAGTGCTATATATGTACAAATCTAAACTTAGTGACAAGTAACCTCCTTCGCTACTGAAATATCTTCAGCAAATAACTGGTTTCAAAATTCGACAGTAACTGAGTAATTGACTGTAAGAATTTTAAAGACCCGTTTGCCAAACGGCATTTAACATTTAATGCGCCTAACACTTTTGCTATCTAATTAAAACGGTTCTGCAACCCACCCTCGTGGTGAAAATGCAGCTGTTACAATACTTTCCGTCTTATTTATACTCAAATTCTAGAGCATCTTCAATGTGACCTGAATACAGTGAATGGCACACATGCCAACAGAGGATCACAAAGAAGGGAATAAACTGACGTTTACTTGGAACCTTCTATGTGACAGGCACTGTACTAGTTTTTTTTTGAGAAAAACTCCAGCCCCGGCTGGAGTGTAATGGTGTGATCTTAGCTCACCGCAACCTCCGCCTCCTGGGTTCAAGTGATTCTCCTGCCTCAGCCTCCTGTGTAGCTGGGATTACAGGGGCACGCCATCATGCCTGGCTAATTTTTTGTATTTTTAGTAGAGACAGAATTTTACCATGTTGGCCAGGCTAGTCTCAAACTCCTGACCTTGTGATCCGCCCGCCTTGGCCTCCCAAAGTGCTTTGATTACAGGTGTGAGCCACCACGCCTGGCCCTTTTCTGTTTGTTTTTGAGGTGTCTCATTTTATTACCCTGGCTGGAGTGCAGTGGCATAATCTTGGCTCACTGCAACCTCTGCCTCCCAGATTCAAGTGATCCTCCTGCGTAGCTGGGCTTACTAGCGCACATCACCACACCCAGCTAATTTTTGTATTTTTAGTAGAGATGGGGTTTTGTCATGTTGGTCAGGTTGGTCTCGAACTCCTGACCTCAAGTGATCCACTCACCTTGGCCTCTCAAAGGACTAAGATTACAGGAGTGCACCACTGCAGCCGGCTTATACTAGTTTTTATAACATACAAGAATACCTAACATTTTGAAAACCCTCATTATTCCAAGTGCTTTACAAGTATTTTCTCCTTTACCTGATTAAAGACCTTTTCCAGGTGGCCTAGCAGGTAAGGGGGAGGCAGGTTTTCACAAAGGGACCAGAGTCTAGGCTAGAGTCCACACTGTGTGCCACCACACTGTCCTGCCTGTGGGTACACTGGTAAAGCAGGTCACATTCGTGAGGCATACTGAATCAGCTGCATCAGCTCACGGAGTCCTCACAACAACCCCAGAAAGTAGGAATTATCCCTGATACGCAAAGTCAGGGTATGAGACAGTCTGAGGAACTGGCCCAAGTTCACATAACCGAGAAGCAGCAGTTAGGATTTGAATCCGCCTAGGTCTGACCCCCAACCCGTGCTGTCCTTTTTCCATTATGCCAGCCTGCCGTGTCTCACAAGTAACTGATACATGCAGCTCAGTTACCTAAAAACTGAAAGTTTCCCAAAGGCATAAATTATTATCAAGAAAATCACAGGATGCTGACAGTGTCGTAAAAGCAGGAATAACACCTCCGTGTGTGGGGAATATTCAATCACGCTGCACATCCCTGCATCACAGTGGAACAGCTGCACCAATCACCTTTCTTTCCCTTCGCATCTAGACTATATCTAGATCAATATCTATCTGCATGGTGTCAGGTATACCATAAGTCTGTGGCAAGCAGTACCTGAATATACAACTTTATTTCACAACCTGACACACTATACGTTTTATGTAACCGTCTCTCCCTATATCCCACTGCTGGGTAAACTCCATGAGGTGAAGTACTTTGTTTCATTTTTCCACTCCTGGATCTTCAGTGCCTGGAACGGTGTCTGGTCCATATCAGGCACCCACTGCATATTTGTTAAAGGAACAGATACATGATTGATTGATCTGGGAATAAAAGTACACCTGGTTCCTAATATAAACACATCCTGTACATTTACTGTGAGCTTGAAAACCTTTCAGAGGTATTTGGAATTTGTTTCTTGAGTAAAATGGAAATAGAATAGATTGCTTTATACTATGAGATTTAGATATTCCTAGTTGTGAAAATTTCTGCAAAACTCTGTGTGTGTGTGTGTGTGTGTGTGTGTGTGTCTGTCTGTGTGTGTATATATATATATATAAATATATTTTTTTAAAGAGACAAGGTCTTGTTCTTTTGCCCAGCCTGGAGTGCAGTGGTGCAATTCTGGCTCACTATGTCCTTGAACTCCTGGACTCAAGTAACCCTCTTGTCTCAGCCTCCTAGGTAGCTGGGACTATAGTTACATACCCCCATGCCCAGCTAATTTTTGTTTTTAAATTTTTTATAGAGATGGGGTCTATGTTGCCCAGGTAAATCTTGAACTCCTGGCCTCAAGTGATCCTCCTGCCTCAGCCTCTCAAAATGCTGGGATTACAAGCATGAGGCAGTAAAGTGTATTTTAAATCAGTAATTATATAATGTGAAAATGATTAATCTGCAGGCAATAAGGAGACAGGCTTCATCAAATAGCAACAAAAATGACATGAAATATTACATTGCTGTGTATGTAAAGTGAAGTAGGAGTAAGAAAGAAAACCTGGCTGCAGTCTCCACTTCCAACTCTTCCTCAGGTGATCCCTGGGAAGGTTACTCCAGTTCACTGAGTATGGATTTTACCTATAAAATGAGAGGTGAGGACACCTAACCTGGCTGCCTGCAACGCTGCTGGAAGGACTGAGAGAGACATGGGGAGGGTCCCTTGCTCAACAGTCTCACAGCCCCCTTCTCATCTCAATTGTCACACTTAACAAACTCTAGTTACATACGACAGTGCCATTTTTATTTACTGTCTCTCCCATGACAGTGTGGGTTCCCTGATGGTCAAGAGAACATTCTTATTACCATCACATTCTCAAGGCCTGGCACCCTGTCTTACACAGAGCTTTACACTTTATAAATATATGATTATTATTTTATAGCAAGATTAATACCTACTAGACCTTAAATCTTTTTCCTCACATAATCTTTGTTGTTAAGATGTAAATACCAGTGTGATTTTTAAAAATACTGAAAACATTCTGAATATTCATTATATGTTGGGTAATTTCACATATATTTAATCAAACCACTGAAAAGACAGCTTCAGAAATCTAGGAAGTGTCTCTAACCCTGACTGGGGTTGGGGAACACAGACCATCACTGAGCCCCACATGGAAGCCTCATGAGGGCATCTTACTAGCTGTGGTTTCCTACATTCAGGCAAAGCAACCATCAGATTTCATGTTCATTTCCCAATAGGTTACGGTACTTAGGAGGTATGGAGTGGGGAGAGGGGAGGAAGTCCTTTCTGAGCAATACAAATGGTAATTACTTGGCAGCTGTATTTCTCAATTATGAAATTCGTGTTCTAGTACAAATCAGTCTCATGAGTTAGGGCAGCCAGGAGCCCATGTCTTCCATTAAGTTCTAGATGTGCTCTGCGGAGAGGCCAAACCCTGGAGTAGAAAAAGCTAAGAGCAACCTTGAGACCTCTTCTCACCATGGCTCTGCATCATCTCTACTGTAATATTAACAGGTGATCAAATATGTCTCACTGGTAGATCTACTGTTTTCAGTTTCTTGCTCACGTAGACAACACTGTATGGCAAGGTACCAAAAAACCAAACTTCTCCATCTCAGCATGATACTGGAGTCAAGTAAAATTTCTATGCTTAAAAAAAAAGACATCGAAGGGAAACCTAGGGCCAGGACAAAAGGCATAGAATTCAATTAAAAATGGACCAAAGGATTGGGCATGATAGCTCATGCCTGTAAGCCTAGCAGTTTGGGAGGCCAAGGTGGGAAGGTCATTTGAGGGCAGGAGTTTCAGACTGGCCTGGCCAACGTGATGAAACCCTGTCTCTATTAAAAATACAAAAAAATGAGCCGGGGTGGTGGTGTGTGCCTGTAATCCCAGCCACTGGAGAGGCTGAGGAAGCCACAATTGTGCCACTGTACTCCAGCCTGGGTGACAGAGTGAGACCCTGTCTCAAAAAAAAGACCAAAGACTCAAGGGCCTGGGAGTATTGTAGGCAGAAGAAAGTAGAGGGCCGGGCTGGTCTAGTTCCATTCCAGGTGATGCTGTTACGTGACAGGAAACAGCAAGCAAACAAGCTGGTGTCAACTATGCTGGCAGGAAAAGAAATATTAAAAAATGGATACAGGCTGGGTGCGGTGGCTTACACCTTCAAAATCCCAGCACTCTGGGAGGCAGGCGGATGCTTGAGCCCAGGAGTTTGAGACCCACCCGGGCAACATGGCAAAACCCCATCTCTAAGAAAAATACAAAAATTAGCTGAATGCATTGGCAGGCACCTGTGGGCCCAGCTACTCAGGAGGCTGAAGTGGGAGGATCACCTGAGCCCGGGAGGTTCAGGCTGCAGTGAGCTGTGAATGTACCACTGCACTCCAGACTGGGCAACAGAGGGAGAACCTGTCTCAAAAAACAAACAAACAAAAATAGACATAACTAAGGGGAATTTGATGGCAGAAGGCTGATATAAAAAGTTTTTACATGCTCACTAAAGAGATCTTTAACATACAGACAAAGAGAAAAAAAAAGAAAAAAACCCTGTAGGTCCTAGTACCTACACTTAACCAAAATTCATATTTATTCATATTTTATTTCCTTTCAATTCTCTTTTCCTTATTCCATAGTGTGTTTATGTTTCAAACATAATTATAATAATTTTGTATGCTAATTTTTACATTTAATGTGCCAAATATTTTTTCATGTTATGTGCTCTCTGCAAAAATTTTCACTGACCAATATAATAATACATCAAGCAAATATTCCAGATTTTACTTAATGATGGACATTTAAGCTACTTTAAGGGTGACATTATGTCTTACTTTAAGGCTCATGGTATACACTGTCAAACCATCTTCCAAATGCACCAAAAATCTGTGCTTTATTTAGTTCATGTGTCAACTAACTGAGTCAGAGGGCAGTCAATAAGCTATGGAGTATTATTTGATACAAGATATGTTTTAGAAAATATGAAAACTGACTAGCTTACATTCGAACTTTATGCCGACCAATGACGAAAGAAACCTTCCTGGTCCAGGGATTCACGAAGCTGGACCAACTGGAATCCAGTATGATGTAGTCTCCATTTTGAGTACAGAATCGAATGGGAGAATGTTCAAAGGGAGGATGCCCTGCATACTTTAAGACTATATAAAATAAAAAGATGAAAATGGATTTATTTAACACAGATACTGACTACAAATGTCCTTTTTTAGCCATTTATTTGTAAATGTTTTAGTGTTTTTTTTTTTTTTTTTTGAGACACAGTCTTGCTCTGCTGTCCAGGCTGGAGTGCAGTGACGTGATCTTGGCTCACTGCAACCTCCACTTCCCAGGTTCAAACAATTCTCATGCCTCAGCCTCCTGAGTAGCCGGGATTATAGGCATGTGCCACCATGCCCAGCTAATTTTTGTATTTTCAGTAGAGATGGATTTCACCATGTTGGCCAGGCTGGTCTCGAACTCCTGACCTCAGGCAATCCGCCCACGTTGGCCTCCCAAAGTGCTGGGATTATAGGTATGAGCCACTGTGCCTGGCCTGTTTTAGTATGTTAAATAGAAAACAATTGCTTTAGCAGTTTCAATCTACTGTCTATCTGGCTAACGGTTGCACTCTAATAAGATGAAAAAAAAACTAGAACAAATCAATGATAGAAAAACATTTCTTCCAATAAAGAAGTAGGTCCTTACCTTTTTGGTGTATGGCAACCATCAGAGAACGATCTTCAGGGTGCAGGTAGCTTAAGATCGACGTTCCAATCAGGTCCTGAGGTAGGTAACCCAGCAAAGGCACTGCTCTGGAATACAGATACACAACACAGGTGGCATGTTACACTCATCAGGTAATTCCTATAATTTATATACTTTTAAAAATACTTCTTTATTTCATTCTAAATTTGAAACAATTTTATGCAAAGCTGTTTATCTTAGCATTTATAAAAACAAAAAAGAACCTAAGTGCTGATCCTGGGGGAAATGGCTGCGTAATCTAACACATGTTGGTTGTCAGACACATTGCATCAGAATCATCTAGGGAGCTTGCTAAAATACAGATCATATATTTAATCAAAGAACTGAAATACAGCTTCAAAATCTAGGATGTATCTCTAACCCTGACTGGGGTGGGGAACAAAGACCATCACCGAGCCCCAGATGGAAGCCTCATGAGGGCATCTTACTGGCTGCGGTTTCCTATGTTCACACCAAGCAATCATCGGATTTCATGTTCATTTCCCAATAGGTTTCCGTACTTGGGGGGTAGGGGGTGGGAAGAAGGGATGAAGTCCTTTCTGAGCAATATAAATGATAATTATTTGGCAGCTGTTATTCCTTAATTATCAAATTCGTGTTCTAGCACAAATCAGTCTCATGAGTTAGGGCAGCCAGGAGCCCATGTCATCCATTAAGTTCTAGACATGCTCTGCGGAGAGGTCAAATCATAGGCTCACTGTAAGCTTACTAAATCAGAATCTCTGGAAGTAAGACCAGGCATCTGTATTTTTAGCAAGTTCCTTAGAGGACTCTGATGCCCTCCGTTATGTTAATGTTGCCATTTTAAAAAGTCTACAAAAAGCACATCATGACATAGAAAGATGCTGATGATGTTAAATGAATAAGGCAGGTTGCTAATTCATACAGCATAATTATAATTACATAAAAACAATGTCATCCAAAAGGTGGTATCAGATAGACAGATTATACAGACATAGTTTCAGGATAAAGGTTCCTGGGAAACTTAGAATGGTAAGACTAAGGATGCCTCAGAAAAAACTGGATTCCATAAGTATTTCCCATGTGTAGAAACCCACAAACATTTTCTTTTTTTTTTTTTGTTTTGAGACAGAGTCTTGCTCTGTCGCCAGGCTGGAGTGCAGTGGCACGATCTCGACTCACTGCAACCTCCATCTCCCAGGTTCAAGTGATTCCCCTGCCTCAGCCTCCTGAGTAGCTGGGACTATCTAACACAACAGATTTAAGCTATTTTTAGAATTTTATTTAACTAAATTTTCTTACTTTATACAGATTAAGTATCTCACCCATTACTATTTGGTTTCAGAGTAAATATCAAATAAACTCACTTTCAGATGTTAAAATTTTTCAATTAAAAAAACTATCAAGGCCGGGCACGGTGGCTAATGCCTGTAATACTAGCACTTTGGGAGGCCAGGGTGGGCAGATCACGAGGTCAGGAGATTGAGGCCAGTATGGTGAAACCTGATCTCTACTAAAAATACAAGAATTAGCTGGGTGTGGTGGCACGCTGCCTGTAATCCCAGCTACTTGGGAGGCTGAGGCAGGAGAATCGCTCCAATCAGGGAGACGGAAGTTGCAGTGAGCAGAGATTACACCACTGCACTCCAGCCTGGTGACACAGCGAGACTCTGTCTCAAAACAACAACAACAACAAACAAAACACAAAACTATCAAAAAAATGTTTTTGACATTTTTGCTTTACAGTTATGTGTGGCGTGGTGTGTTGGTTCCCAGATTTTCAAATTTCATGAGTAAGTAAAATTTTAAAATAAATGTGGGAAAAAAACTTGGGATACTGATGTGGTAATACTTATATTTACTCCAAATAAAGATATTAAAAAACAGCAATACACAATAACAACTACCTACTATTACTATCCTTTAAACAACAAAGCCTATTTCAACATCCCCCAAAAGTAGGAAGGACATAAGTTCAAAATAAAGAGCAATTCTTTACAAAAAAATCATCTGTTCTCCCCACCTTTGCCCCTGCTTCAGACTAACCGAAATTGCATCCTAAGCTGATTTGAGATGCACTTGCCAAGTGGCAGTAACACCAGAATAGGTGCTAGAAGACCAGAGTCTTGGTCCCAGTTTGAGCGCAATCAGATACCACACATCTGTCTCAGCAAACTGGCCCCGGGGTTCACTGTCTTCCTCTGTAAAATGAAATAATTCTTGGCCTACCTAAAGTATGCTGTTGTGAAATCAAATATAACTTGTAAGCACTTTATAATATGCAAGATATTTATATTAAAAATTTAGATAACATGCATTTCCATGTAACAAAAATCAAACAGGTAAATGGATAGATTTCAGTTATATAATGCATAAACATGCAAACATAATGTAAACTTCTTCACATTTATATTTATTTCCAGAAACAAATTTCTTTTAGGCTTAAAGAAGTACTTACCTTTCATCTACTTCAAGAAAAACACACCCTGGGGTGTGTGTTGTGGTAAAGATTCTTTTATTCACTGGGATTCGAGGAGCTTTGGGGAAAAAAAAAAAAAAAAAGAGAGACTCATTTAAAGGCAAATATCTAATTAATTATCCACTTAACTACCTAACATATTAAAAAGAGAACAAAATCTTTATGAAATTGAAGAGGAAAAATTAATAGAAATAAAATCAATGCAGGAAAGAGAAGCAGAAATTAAATTTTTCTTTTATAAGCAAACTCTCCTGAGTCCTTCCCCATCCCATGGAATTGTGTCCTGCTTTGCAAGTTGTGTAAGCTTATAAATTCTTGTATTCTTGTTCTCTATAGCTGATAACTGTAAGTTTCTGTAGCACAGTGAAGGTCATTAAGAAATGCCCAAGCAGGCAGGACTCCAGCCTTCTGGGCGCTGTAACAGAAGGCAACAGATAAGGCCTGTGCTAGAATCCTTGAGCTCGACAGATAGTGAACATCTGGGTTGCATAGCAACAGTCATATGTAATCCTAAGTTAGGTGCCTATCATTGCTTGATAAATTGCCTTGGTTCTACACCTGCAAACTTGTTTTAGTGCCACTATGTATTTCACGTATAAAAAGTCAAGCCCTGCCTTTGTTAAGGGCTCAGCCATTTTGTTCCCAGTCAGGGAGCCAGCTGGGCCGGTGTACACCTAAAATAAACTCCTTCTGTAACCTCAATGGTCTCTCTGAAATCCTGCAACAAAATGGTACAAATTTCATTTAGTGGCCTGGCCTTCAAGCAGCCAAAGCTACAGTTAAATGATAATTTCATTACTAACTTTTATTTAGGTTAAAATGTGAAGCCTACTAAAGTCAATTTTAAAAAGAGAGAGAAAGAATGTGCACATTAAATAGTTATCTCTCTTTTTTTTTGAGACAGAATCTCACTCTATCCCCCAGACTGGAGTGCAGTGGCACGATCTTGGCTCACTGCAACCTCCACCTCCCAGGTTCAAGCGATTCTCGTGCCTCAGTCTCCCAAGTAGCTGGGATTACAGGCACCTGCCACCATGCCTAGTTCATCATAAATAATTTAATAGTTAAAACTGGAATAACTAAAAAGTTTAATCAGATTTACTAGCTTCATATAACTAAACAAACACAAATATTACAAATATTATTTAGTACCATATGGATATTCGAGGTCAGGAGTTCGAGACCAGCCTGGCCAACATGGTGAAACCCATCTCTATTAAAAACACAAAAATTAGCCAGAGTGTTGGTGCACATCTGTAATCCCAGCTATTTGGGAGGCTGAGGCAGGAGAATCACTTGAACCTGGGAGGCGGAGGTTGGAGTAAGCCAAGATCGTGCCACTGCACTCCAGCCTGGGAGACACAGCAAGACTTCATCTCAAAAAAAATTAGTATGGTCAGTTCTGCTCTAATGCTTGCTTTAAAAATGAAGTGCAACTGGGCTTGGTGGCTCATGCCTGTAATCCCGGCACCTTGGGAGGCCAAGGCGGGCTGATGACTTGAGGTCAGGAATTTGAGACCAGCCTGCCCAACAAGGTAAAACCCTGTCTCTACTAAAAATACAAAAATTAGCAGGGCATTGGGGCAGGCACCTGTAATCCCAGGTACTCGGGAGGCTGAGGCATGAGAATTGCTTGAACCTGGGAGGTGGACGTTGCAGTGAACTGTGCCACCGCGCTCCAGCCTGGGTGACAGAGCGAGACTCAAAAATAAAAAAAAAAAAGAAAAAAATGAAGTGACTGATATATTAGGGAACAATTTGAGCAATTGCTAATATCTCATTTGCATATGCACTTTTTCATTTTCAAGAAAGCTTAAGTGAATGCAGAAAACAGCATCCAGTTGAAAGGAACTACTTACGAATACACAAAAACAGGTGTGATGGCTCATACCTATAATCTCAGCACTTTAGGAGGCCAAGGCAGGACGATCACTAGAGCCCAGGAATTCGAGACCAGCCTGGGCAACATAGTGTGACCCTGTGTCTACAAAAAATAAATAAGTAAATAAAATTAGTAGGGCATGATGGTGAGTGCCTGTGGTCCTAACTACCTTGGAGGCTGAGACCAGAGGATCACTTAAGCCTTGGAGTCTGAGGTTGCAATGAGCCATGATCACACACTGCGCTCTAGCCTGAGTGACAGAGCAAACCCGTCTCAAAACAAAGCAAAACAATAACAGAAAAAGAATATGCAAAAACATACACATCCACCTCAAACATCTACCTGCTACCTCAGTTCATCCCGTGGTATGAGCCGTATTTACTGTAGTGTTTGTATTTTCCTAACCATTTAACACATGTGAAACCATGTTATCATTTTTATTTGATTCCTGTCTTATTTTTAATGTGCAACTAAGTTTTTGAGTTTTGTGCTCCTAAACCCCTTTTCTCCATAAGTCCTGTGGTTTTTATTGTGTGACTGTTGCACAGGATGGTGATTTGTAGGAGAGAATATGTCGTATTATATCCAAACTGACTTTAAGTAATACATGGAAGCTGCCTATGTATTAATATATGCACTAGAAATATAGTTCTGCTCGTGAAAGATATAATATACATTTTACTCAGGGAGTTTCACACTTCGAAAACATAAAATCACTCTTGTGGCCTCTCTGGGAAACAATTTCAGCACTCTTCTTTCACACAAGACAAGCAGAAGGCCACACTGAATGGGTCACCAGCAGAGAGGACTAGCAGATTGCATCTGCTGCGACCATTCGTTCAGCCATGCAGACCACAAAGGCAATGACTGCACAGGCAGCCAAGGTCAGTAAACAGACATTGGTGAAAAACAGCTTCAAACCCCTGAAGAGTTTAAGGGTCAAACTGGAGACCCAAGCACTCTTTTTTTGTTCTATGACTGACATAAACAGACTTTCCCATGTTCCTATCTGATGGCTGACGTTTCTGCATCTTATCTACTGACTTACCTTCGTAACCAGAGTGAATCTTTTCAACCACAGTGAGACAGCAAGGCTCCGATTCCAATTCTGGCTGGGCAGGGTGATGGACATGAATCAGATAAGGGATGATCCGGAATGGGGAGGGACGCTTCTCTTGCTCTCTGTCTTCACCTCCACTGAGGAGATTAAAGATATTAGTGCTGGTCCTGATGCACCCTCCAGGCCCACTGTGAAACAAGGCTGGGAGAAATGTTTTATTGGTAATTTCCAAGAGAGACATACCCACATTAAAAATGTTTAAACGTGTTTGTTTTCAAAAGAAAGAATATGTTAGCTTAAGTTTTCGATATTATTCAACAAGGAAGAGGTTGTGTAAAGAGTTAGCTTAGGTTACTGTGAGTGTAAAAACAGAACTAGTGTTTCCATGACTTTTCTCCTGACCCCCATGCGCTGAATTCTCAGTCTGACTTTTCCCCTTCTGCTGTGAAGAGAGACAGGCATAGATGTCTCATCTCACACATCTATATCAGCTGTCACAAGAGAGAAAACGGGGTCCCCTGCAATCAAGTCCCGGAGCCAGTTCTGTCATCCCTTTCTATACTCTCTAAAAACCAATTTCGTCTCCAGCCTCAGTGATGCCCTCATCACCGACCCTCACATGTGGTCAGGTGCTCCGTCCATACAGGCATCCGGCTGAGGAGGAAAGAAAAAGCTGAGGCTAAAACCGAGCTCAGCAAGCCCTGCCCTGGCACAGAGGGCATGCCCTTTCCACTCCTCGGTAGGGGGTCTGATTGACGGCTTCAAAGATCGTCACCCTGTGTTATCACTGCAGCTGCCCAGCAGATGCTTCTGCTGGGAGATGCCACTTCACCTAAAATCAGAAAGCCCAAGACTGAATTCACACTCACCCACTTTTACCAATCACACATCTACTCTCTGGCCAGCACATAAAGACTTGACCACTAATCCTAAGGGAGTCTTTACTGCCAGAGATTATCCAGTTCATTCCCACTCCACCTCACTCTTTTAAAAAAA